AATTCATTCTCACTAATTGTTTCTTTAATGTCAACATGCTACTAATTTGAATTATAGAGCTTTCTCTTGCTAGTCTTTGGTCTGATGACCATTGAACTATATTTGTTTTCAAATGACACTGATTAGTATATCCTTAAGTGCTTAGAATCAGTTTGCCCAAAGTAACATCTGATGGAATCTGAAACTGCACACTGAATATTTTGTTGTTCTTGTTTCATTTTATTTTGTTGCTTTTATTTTGCTTTAATGATCACCTTAGTTAGTGCATAGAACAAGAGAACAGAAAGTGCCTTCAGAATCAGGGCAAACAAATCTAAGTTCACATTATCACAATCTATGGGAGCTTTCTACTGAACTCTTGGCAATATGTTCTTTCAACTTCTCATTTTAAAACTATTTGTAAAGAGATGCTATAATATAGTAAAGCTAAAACTCTACTGTTGGAAATGAGAAATCAACATTACAATCTGTCTTTGAGCTTTCTGCTTACTAGTCCTTCTCAATTTACTGTTGGGGAATAATAACAATAAGTATACAAACCCTGTATAGATATGATAATTTATTAGTATATGTTATATGCTAAACATAATATGCAGAGTTAAAAAATATCAGCATTCCCATGTAGTTGCGAATATAATATATAGAATTATAGAGTTGGAAGGAGACATTTAGACTATTCAGCCCAACCTAGTCCTGAGTAGTGGAGTCCAAATGATCTGTTCAATGGCTGTGTGGCATCCATTTGAATCCATCCAATGAAGGAGCAATTGGGTTCACTGTCAAACTGCTTATACTGCTAGAACACATTTCTAACATTCCACTGGCCTCTGCCTTCCTGTAACTTGAGTTCATTTACCTATTTCCTGCATTTTGGGATGATAACGAAAAGACTGTGGCATTCTTTTTGTGCGACATCTCTTCAAATAGTTGAAGAATGCACTCTTACCCTCAGTCATTTTTTCTCAAGGCTAAATATACCCAATGCCTTCAATGTTTTCATAGGACTTTATTTCTAGTTCCTTGAGCATCTGCTTGCTGATCATTGCCTCAAGGGATCAGTCACCCTGTAGTTAGGTCCCAGCTTGATTGATTTATTCTTCTTGAAGATTCTTACTGGTACACAGTAATTGCCTCCAGATCCATAATTCTTCTTTCTCTTGCTCTTTCTCAATGTCCAGTTTTCAGAGCCATACATTACTATTTGTAAGACCCGCTGTTTTTAACTATTCTAATCTTTATGGTCCTGGAAGTAATCCTTAACTTTAATGATCCTGTCTAGGTTTGCCCCTGCCTTCATCCTTACGATTAATTTACTCTCTACTTCTCCATTTACTTTATTTGAAGCTTGAAAAAAAATCATTTCCCCACTTTTCCACTTTCAATTGTAAATTCATTAAGCATGAAGATTGACATTATCTTTGTCTTTTAAATATAATCTTTTTTTCACTTTCCATTTTTTTACCCTCTTTTTGATATCTTCTACTTTTTCCTTATTTCTGTTTAACAAAGTTTTTTTGTTTACATAAACCAAATTGTTAGTTTTTTGGCATATATTTTATTCCTGTGATCCCTTCCAGTTCTATCATTCTTCCATTTGATCTAAGTCCAATAATTACAAGAATAATATGCATTCTTGTCTCACTCCTCTTTCTTTTCTGAGTGACTCTGTTTTTCCAAACTGAATTCCTACAGTCCTTTTTATGCATTGTAAAAGTGTCTAAGAAGTAAAAACAGGGACTTTTGGCAGAACAATTAGCTGTAATATATTCCTATTTTTGCCTGATCTATGTGATCAATAAAACAAAGATAAACTGGCTTCTTATAATCTCTTGCTCTCCTATTTGTTTGTTTATTTCTATACTGCCTGATGGGTAATTATGTACAGTAAAACCACTGATAAAATGCAATGTCTAAAAATACTTTTCCAAATCCATTATATCTAAACATAACAACCCATAAATAATAAGAAAAAAGGTTGCCATATATTCCTTGCTAAGAGCTAGAAGCCCATTGAAAAAGTAAAGTATATCTATCTTATTTTGGCTATTTCTTCACATGTCCCTTCATCATTCTGAAAGGTGTTTATTTTTATTTTTTTTAATTTAAATTTATCTTTTAATGTATGCGTCTTCATAAGTTCTTGGCAAAATCATGAAATATGGTTTGGTAATGTGCATGTTTTCCTCAGTGTAATTATACAGACTTTTCAGATGTGAGACTTTTCAAACATGAGTCCATGCAGCCTTGTTCCATAGATGTTAACATAGAGCTGTTAGCACTTGAACTTCCTCCTTTTCAGCAATTGTTAATAGTTTAATGGGCATTTCATCTGCACCTGGTGTTTTCCTTTATGACTGTTGATCTATTACTTGTCATATCTCACTTTTTAATTGGAGCAGACACCTAGACATATTACCTCTCTGCAAATTTATCTATCGTTGTATAAACATCTGTCATGCTTCTTGTTTTTTCCTCTATATTTCTTAACATTCTTGAATGCAGGGCCTTGTCTTTTCTTGCTTAAAAAGACAAACTGCAAGAAGGTTGTTCTAGGAGGAAGCTGATTATTAAAAGAAGTAAGTAAGCACACAAATAAACAGGTATCTTATATTCAGTCGTCATTCTTGTCGCCCAAGGCTTTCATCTTTCATCTTCTTTGGTTGTCATGAGACCTTACTCTGAAAGTCCTCTGTATCTTTTCCTCTGAAATTTTAGGAATGTTACTTCTGTCTAACTTGCCACATTTTTCATCATTTTCTCCTTGTGAAAATAGGGCAGGGCTTGATCACATGGTTATGGCTACTATCTTGACTTCATTTGCATCTATCCCTGCAACTATTTCACTATGCAGAAACAGGTTACAATATTCTGTACTATCCTGCAGCTTGAGATGAAGTATGCTGATAAAAAAACCTTTCCCTATGAACATTATTCAGAGTTCTATGTTTCTCATTGTTTCATCTATTATGTATTCAGTTTATTTTGGTTACATCTCCACAATTATTGGATGTGTGCATGCTAAATGGACAGTGACCTAGTGTGATGGTACGTGGGAATGACCTTGGGAGACAGGACAAACACTTGCAGTCTAGACAATAGTTTTCCTCCTGTTTTCCAAGGTCACTCCCACAACCCATTACATTTGGATCCAGACTTATTCATGCTTAGAATAACTCCATTAAAATCAGTAGGACATGAATAACTTAATGATGCATTGATGATGTTACCTAGTTTGGGTAATGAAATGTCCGCAGGAAAGGAACCAAGCTCTGTGAGCACCAAGGACCACTTAATCCCATTGATTTATCAACACAACCAAATCCTCGTGGGTATAAAAAGAAAAAAAAATCTTTGTTTAATCTGTTCCATACAGGTTGTTACAGCAACTAAGATGATCAAAGGTCTGTAGATCAAAACATAAGAAGATTGGCTAAAGGACTTGAGTCTGGCTAGTCTAAAGAAAAGAAGAAATAGGGGAGACAGGTTAGCAGTATTCCAGTACTTGAGGAGCTGCCACAAAGAAGAGGGGGTTGGGTTATTCACCAAAGCACCAGAGGGAAGGTTGAGAAACAATGGTATGAAACTGATCAAAGAGAGAAGCAACCTGGAATTAAAGAGAAACTTCCTGACCGTGAGGACAATCAACCAGTGGAACAGCTTACCCCCAGAAATCATGGGCGCTCCATCACTGGCGATTTTTAAGAAGCTGGACAGTCACTTGTCTGAGATGGTAGAGGTTCTCCTGCTTGAGCAGGGGGCTGGACTAGAAGACCTTCAAGGTCCCTTCCAGCTCTATTCTATTCTATTCTATTCTATTCTATTCTATTCTATTTTTTAAACTGACATATATGCTCCTTCAAACTAAATTTCTTGTTAAGCCGTCAGGAAATCTGGCTGATTATATATAGACTTATCATCTGTATTTCTTTGCTATTAATTGTTAGTAGAATTAATGACAGAACAAATTAAGAGGAGGCTTGTAGTTCAATCTAAGTGATATGTTGTTTTCAAACAGATAAATTTAAACTGATGGGCTTTAGCATATCTATTTTCAGGAAATGTAAAAATCTGATTCACACAGCATTTGCTATTCTATCCTCCTCATGTATGGTATCAATTCTAGACAAAGGTTCTTTCTTTCTATCTATTAAAATACTGAGATGTTAGTAGAATTTCAGTAGAATTAATTTCAGTAGAATTAATTATCATAACTAATGAAAAGGACAGTAGGTTCAAAATGGCGAAATAGGGACTAAATCTCGAAACCTTCTAACCAATCTGATCCCTATTGACAGAAGCCCTTGTCTTTGGTTTTGCTCTCTTTGACTCATTCTTATTTCTTAAACCGATAAAGCGAACAAAGCATATACCTTATCACAACTGTTTTCAGGCCCTTTCACAAATCCAGAAAGCCTAGGTTGCTTCCAGCTTTTGAGGCCATTATTCATAATATTTTTTTTAAAAAAAATGATAAAGTGAAAAAAAATTACACCCAAATGATGTAACAACTTCAAACGTTTGGCAAATGTCTTAATTAACTCATCACTAATGTTTTAATTATGCTCTTTGCCGACAAGCTGAGCAGAGCACACAACTGATAATTTGCAATGTTATGATTCAAGCTGTCATTTAGCCTTGAGCATGGCACTTTGAAACATTTTATACTTACTTGTCTTTGGCAACATGTGGAATATGATTTACAAATAGTACTAATGATCACATAACCTTCCATATATAGATGAAGTAATGAGAAGATATGGGAACATTCAGAGCAGGGAGAAGCAATTGATTTTATTTTATTTTCATGTTTCCAAAGAAACATAGGATGGTCATGCACTAACACTCAGTCTGAACCCTCAATCCCAACCCAGAATTATTGTTTGGAATTATTTTTCTCAGTGTGAATGGAGTATGAATTATGTTGGGTTCCCCCACCTTTATTGGAGGTCCTAATAGTATTTCTGTAAACAAAATCACTTTGGAAACAGGGAAAGAAAGAGGTCAACTTCCTTTGGAGGATGTGCTGATATTTCTGTTTTAGTGTCTTGCTTCATCCCTTCATCTGGCCGTGCAGTATTGGTCAAGTGACAGAGCAAGGTTGCATTCTCTGATGAAAATTTCCTGGAATAAACAGGTAAGTAGAAGACTTCTTGCGTACTTTGAAAGTAAAGAAGAAAATGTATCTCCCTTTGTCATCTGCTTTCCCACAACTAAGTACAGTGATGTTACCTTTCCTACTAAGAACTCCTAAAATATTTTTAACCCTAATTTCTGTCCATTTCACTCGACAATTTTATGTTCACCCTGGGAACAAACTAAAGCTAGGACAGATTTTGCCATAGTGATAATTAGGACTTTACTCCAATGCTCTCTTCTTTAGAGTTAGAATAAGTCCCACGAACTGTATTGGTTCTTTCTTCTCCAAAGAGATATACAGCTAGTCCTTGACTTACAACAGTTTATTTGGTGACTGATTGAATTTACAACAGAACTGAAAAAAGCGACTTATGACCTTTTTTCACACCTACGACTGTTGCACAATTGAGCCCAGCATTTCTGTTGCTAAGTGAGACATTTGTTAACTGAGTTTTGCCCCATTTTATGATCTCTCTTGCTGCAGTTGTTAAATGAATTGCTGCAGTTGTTAAGTTAGTAACACAGTTGTTAAGGGAATCTGATTCTCTATTGACTTTGCTTGCCAGAAGGTTACAAAAGGTGATCACCTGATTTCAGGACACTGCAACCCGTCATAAATATGAGTCCGTTGCCAAGCATCTGAATTTTGATCACAAAACACGGGGAATGCTGTAATGTTTGTAAGTTTGAAAAATGGTGATGAGTCACATGTTTCAGTGTGTTGTAACTTTGAACGGTCACTAAATGAACTGTTGTTAAGTTGAGGACTGACTCTATGTCAGAAGATACAGTAAAATGAACTGAGTTCCACTGAAATCAAATACAAAATTTAGTGCTTAATGCATGCTGATTTCAATAGGGGTTAAATGAGCTTAACTTTTTCTGAAGTGTGCCCAGAGACTGGAATGCTTTGTGAGACCTCACCACCAGATAGTGGAATGGAATCCCTAATTCTGAATAATTAATGCTTGAGTCAGCTTCTGATTCTAGAGAATTTAGGTATTTCAGTATTGTTCATTTAAGATGAATTGTATAAAATATTTAATATATTATTTTATCAGTACATAAATCAAAGCATTTGATGGATCCCAAACAAAAAATACACACAGTGAAATATTTTCCAAGAACGTATAGCTTTCTCCTGTTCTCTAAGCTCTGTCTCCAATAATTTCTTCCATAAGAGGTTGCCGTGACAACGATAATTATTCTTGATCAGCAGCATACCATAATTACTGCAATAAAGTTATGTAAAGCTTGCCACAACATGTATGAGCAAGTCATCCTCATGTCAATTATGTGCTTTCATTTTTTTCAGATGAACTCAGTACCTTTAGTAATGAAACTCTAGCAAGCAAATTCTAACAAGCGAAGTGTGAAACTAAGTTTTATTTTTTTGCTAAATTAATTTTAAGAAGAAAGAAGCTGGCAATTGCTGTTGTCATTTCTTTAAATATTCATCTCTCTCACATTTCAGAACATACTTATCTTAAAAGTTTTAATCTTGTTTTATTCTCATGTATTAATACAATGATCAATGTTCATAAATAATGTAACACAATATTCAGGGATTCAATCTGCTCCTTACAAAGGGAGCTTATAATGGCCCTTTGTGACATCATAGGCTACACATGAAAAAGAAAATCAAACTCTATTGTTAAAGATCAGTACATTGCTAACCTTGAACACCAAGGAGAATCCTCTAGTGCAGTATTTCTCAACTTTAGGATGGATGGATTTCAGCTTCCAGAATCTTAAAAATTATCCAGGCTGATAAACACTGCTCTATTGATGCCATATGTCTAGATCTGAATAACTTTGAAAATTAGGTCTTTGCAGAAGCAACGTCAATTAAGTGGATGAGTTTATATTGGGGAAGTGAATAATTCCCTTTTCTGTAGAGTTAACACTATTCACCTTGAACAAAGAATTTGTGTGGCCTAGAGCTTTTTCAGGCCAGCTCTATGGAACTACCTGCAGTATTCATCAAAAGTAGCCAGCTAAGGAGACCACTGATGTGTTCATTTCAGATTGAATAGCTTTGGCATGTGTAGATTGTGGCTTTGCCTGCAGGGTATTGAAACATCCTACCTTGGAATGTATGTCAAGTGGCCTTGAGGCCAGCCAGATTCAGTCTGAAATGCAGTTAGTTACTCATAGCAGTTGCTGAAACTGCCCAACTCACAGTCCCTTCAGCCAATACTGACAAGAAATCTTGTCTCAGCCTTCTTCTAAAATGTGAGCTCTACAGAAGAAGACTCAAAAGGCTTCAGGTAGAACATCATAAAACAACATGGTAGTCTTGGGTCTTACAAGCAAGGAGGGTACATGACTCTGAAAAACACCTTTAAGTGGTTGTTTTGCTCAAAACTTTGTAAAGTTAAAAAAATCTTTCATGATTTAGAAATTATCATCTTACAGATAATTTGGAGATAGACTTCTGCTACCTGGAACCAAGCACTTTCTTGTGTAGACTGCATCAATTTTTATGAACCAAATAAATAACAAAAGAGAGTAAGGATTTATATATTTAATAACTATCTGCATTTTAACCCATTTGTAGAAGAAATTTCACAGAAATCCATCAAAAATAATATTTTAAAAACTGTTAAAATATGTAATATTATATCAAGTTGGCCCACTTGCATGAAAACATTTGTTCTATGCATATTTTCCATTTCTCAAGACTCAATTTTTTTCTTGCACAAAATGAGTGGCATAGGATCAGTGTTCCCTTGTATGTAAAACATGCTGATTTCTCTGTCCAAACAAGAGAGTGATTCGTTTCTTCATCTTTTCTAAAGGAAATGTTGGAAGTTGCAGAAACAGATCAAAGAGCTGACAAGGTGAGTTGGTCAAGTATTTCCCTTTCATCTGTATATATTGTTTGTGACATATCATTCCTCAAGGGGAGGAAGGTTTCTAATCACTTTTAAGAAGGAGATGACAGGAAAGAGCAAAAGGAAAGATTAAGGATCACCCATAAACAAATTGCAGTGAATGGACAGGTAGAATGGCGGAGAGAGGTTGATAGTTTCAATACAATGAGAAAAAGAGAAAGCTGTGCCTAGTGAGTAGAATCATTGTATTAATTTATCTATAGAAAGAATTCAGGCAGTTCCATTTGCAACTTAATAAATTATTTATACAATAAATTATCTGATAATCTTATGAGACTGAAAAATAGAGATATAAAATAAATTAAAAGTTAAGTGCATTTTAATTTTTAATTAGAATTTATACTGGTTAAATTTGGCCCAGTTTCCCATGTCCTCAACTGAGTTCCAAATTGATCAATATAGCAGAATGTTCCAGTTTTTATTAAATCACATTTATAGCTTACTCTACTAAAGCTAGAGAGAGTTATGGAATTCAGAAAATCAAAATTATTATGTGTGTATGTATGTGCTTTAGAGTTGGGTTGATCTTTAAAAGGACTCCTTACTCTGATGAAAGTTCAAATAAAAGGCTCCTCCAAAGAGTAGGAGTGCTATGGTGCCCTGTTTCTAAGTAATGGAACTGCTGAAACACTTCAGACCAATCATACTCCACAATGGTCTGTTTCCTATTATCCGTCTTCTGAATGACAACAGAGGTGTTCAATACTCCGAAAGCTTAAGGATTCATTGGCTGCAATTCAGCGTCATTGTCTTAAAACATGTTGCTTTCTTTATGATTGATCTCAGAGCAGGACTTCAAGCATTACAGTTTATAGCAGGAGTCCCCAATCCCCGGTCCGTGGACCAGCACTGGTCCTCAGCATGCCAGAAACCGGCCCAGGCAAACAAGCGAAGCCCCATCCATAGGATGCAGGCAACATGCAAAGCAATGCCCCTTCTGATCCACGGAAAAACCTTTCTCCATGAAACTGGTCCCTAATGCCCAAAAGGTTGGGGGCCGCTGGTTTAGAGCTCTTGGTTGAATACAGTGCACATTATGGATATAAAGTTGAATGTGAATCCAGCCATATTATTTCACTGTATCATTCACCTCCCCCCAAATTTGTTTTTCAAAGAAGACCTAAGAATTGATATTATGCGGACTTAGGTTTTCTATAAAGCAAGCCATTTTTATTTTAAAATTATTAAATTAAGTATCTTGTAGTCAAGCTCCCCTGATAGGCCTTTATTTGTTTCTTAGATTTGATTTTATCTTTTCTCTTAAGCACAAGATAGCTTTTTTCTTTCATTTTATCCCATACTAAGAAAGATTGGTTTCCAACAGGCCCCTAAGCTGTTTAGTGATGGTAGATCTACACCTGAAACTTCCTAGTTCTAGTTAAATGTACAGCTACTCTACTAAACCGGTTTACAGTTTCTGTGTGATGCCTCCAAATTAAATCTTTGTTGATCCTAATATAGGTTTTGTATGTGTCTCTCCTCAAGAAATACTGTCAGCAATGATCTATTTGGCAAAAGTAAGAAACCCTCCTTTTTGAAAGGTAGTCCTCAGCTTTGTCTACATTTTTAATTATTATAGATTCCCATAATAATTAAATAAGATCAGTTCTGATTATACCACTTCTTCATGGGATGAAGTAACACAAACCGTTCCCAACTATGGTTCCTACACTGGCCTAGCTGCAAAGCTGAAAAGTTATTAGCCTAAAGCCAATCTCTGTAACGATAATGAAGAACATGTTATTGAGAATTTGCATATATCTAAGTTGATTTTCACGTAAGCCAATTCACATCATACCAGTGTTATCATTTTTGCTCTAGTGGAAATAAAAAAAGATTAGGGGCAAGTACTTGCTATATAAATATTTATATAAAATCAAACTGTTCTCGGTGTGACTCACAGATGTACAGCCAAATCTCAGTAATAAATGTAGTAAATAGTTAAATAGCCTTGAGTCAAAAAGTGGATGTGTTTAGACAGATGCTTGGTGTACTGAAATGCCTCATTTTGCTACTGATGCTTTCCCAGAGATGGACACAGCATGAGACGAAACTATATTTTATAGTTTCAGACCAAAGTTTTGGAAGTCACTGCAGTGATCAGCAAGAATGTGGCCTTTCCATGGTTATTTGGTTTAAGTAGAAAAAATGATTTCATTATTGGGAGTTAAATATAACACACAATTTTGAAAAATTGTAATGCCAAAATAAAACTACATTATCTGATTCAGTCCTGAATTAAACAGGGGGAAGTTTACCCATAATACTTATGAGCCAAATGAGAAAGTTCTTTGTGCTTCTGATATAATTCAGAGTAGGTCCCTTCTGTACTTCCAGAAGTGGTTGAATAAGGTTCATACACACACACAAACATTATACACATAAATGTTTCTCATCTTGATGCAACATGGTACTTTAATTTATATTCAGAATGGTGACTGAGCATCTCCTTAGATTGTTGGAGTTGGATCATAAGCATATCGACGATAAAAGAATGTCTGGGGAAGGCATATTGAATTGAAAATGTTTCCACCAAAGTGGAGCTGACAGCTGTGGCAAAGAACAAGTAACTCATGAGTAGGGTGGTTCTTTGGAATGTCTTTAGATAAAGAGAGGATAAGAGATCACCCACTTGTGTTCCAGACAGCTGCTTCTTGGGAGGAAACCTCAGGACAGTGATCTTCCATGGGTCTCACTTTCTAATACTTTACTCATGCTCTGGTGCTTCCTGATGCATTTGGATAACTACTGTGAGATATTTGGCTTGACCCATCAAATCTATTCTTCCATTCATATTGTATACAAGAAGTGTTACCATAAGATAAAATTATAAATCTATGTCCTTCTGTATATGTCTCAAATATGAATTATCATGATTAAAACATTGAATCAGATTGGGGAATTAAAACAAAGCAAAACCACCAACCTGTAAGAAACTACTTTGGTATTGTTGCCTGAGAAAATTACAGTAAATGCCGGCGTATAAGGCGACTTCTGCAAGCGCTGAAATCGGCGCCAAAGACGGGGGTCGTCTTATACGCCGAGTCGTCTTATACGCCGGAAATACTGGTAGTTTCCGGCGTATAAGACGACGTTCTAGGAATGCGGCCCGGCGATAAAGACGGGGGTCGTCTTATACGCCGGGTCGCCTTGTATGCCGGCATATACGGTATATGGACTTGTCCATAAATTTAGCATTGGACAAACAAATATGGTTGACTTTCTGAGAAATTGCTTGCAAAGTGCAGCTGGATCTGAGATGCCTCAGGGTGACATCCATACAATGTACCAATTACCTTATCAATTATCTCTCATTGGTAAAATGGTTGAACAAGTGCTTTGTGAGCAGCACACCAGATACTCTCTGCATAAAATAAAGAAGATAGGAACCCTGTATGATGAGCTGAAGAAAGAAGCACGTTGCCAGGAGGCTAGAGGTAACTGTGCCTCTCCATTTTAAAGTTTATTAAGCAGAGATTGAAGTGAAATAAGATCCCTTTTCTAGTTAAAAACAAAATAAGCCTTAATTATGATACAGTAGACATTTATCCAAGTGTATGCTAGAACCACTTCATCTGGTGATTCGCTGAGCTGCTTTTCTGTATCACATAATCATGAGCATCTGCAGGAGGCCTGAAAAAAAAAGGCCAATGGATGCAAAGATGTAATCAAAGCCCCACAACTTTTTATGTGCATTTTACAACCCTGTGGACAAACTTGGTCGTTTTAAAAAAAATATGCTGGAGAGTATGCAGAGGAAAACTTAATTTTTGTTATAATTATCATGTTTTCATTTCAACCTTTGTTATAATATAAAGTTCATGTTATATATATATGCTGTATATGTATTTTTCCCTTTCTTTTTGTTTTTCCTTTTGTTGTTGTTGTTGCTTGTTCAAGTAATAATTTAAAAAGAAAAAAGACTTGGCAGAAGAGGCTTCAATCTGATAAGCAGAAGCTTTCTGAGCACCGGACCTCATGGAAGTCACCTTTTTCTTCCCTATGGAAGATGTGGCTGCCTATTTCCGGAGTCATTTGGAAGACTTCTGAGGTTCGTGAATAATGCCCATGAACTGAATATGTAAAAGGAAAACTTCCTTCTGCTTACCAATGTTATGTCCTGAGCCTGTGGAAGCAGGCTCGGGGCATTGTAACGGTCCTGGGCAGGTGCAAGCTGCTCGGGACTAGACTGGCTGTTGCCAGCACGTGTGCGCATGCGCGGGTGCTGACGCGCCAAATGTTGCAGATTGGCCCGGGAATGGCCTGTAAAAGAGGCCGGGAGATTCGGGCGTTGTCGGCGTTTTGTAACCAGTATGCTGAACAGAAATAAAGAAGCTCCTGAGAACTACAACTGCTTCTCGTGTCATTGCCATTTCGCGAAGGACGTAACACTGGCGACGAAGGTGGGATTGCCTTACATTGACCGAAGACAGGTGTAAGCTTACCCGAGAGAGTCCTGAGCGGTAGGAACAGCGTTGACTCGGCAGCTACCCGCCAATCCAGCAAGCATCGGGGGTAGGCTGGCTGATAGACCCTTCCTTTTCTACAAAAATGGCAAAAGTAGGAAGACTTTCAGAATTCGACGTCTCGCATCCGGAAAGATGGGAGTCTTACGTAGCCAGGGTGGAAAACTATCTTAAAGTCAACCAAGTAAGAGAAGATAGTTTGAAGGCCGCCACCCTGCTGTGCGTTTGCGGTCAAGACACATTCAAAATCGCTGAAAACATAGCAGCACCTGTACCTCTAGAATCTGTTAACTACACAGATCTCAAAAAACTACTCAAGGAACACTTCCAGCCCAAGCTGTCCGTCATCGCTTGGCACCACACCTTCGAACAGAGGGATCAGCGACCCGGAGAATCAGCCAAAGAATACATTGCTGCGCTGAGAAAAGCCGCTAAACACTGCGAGTTCAAGGATCTAGAAGAACGGCTGAGAGACAGATT